GAGGACTTCTGTGTGTTATTATCTTTGCTGCAAGAGATGTTGAGTGCATCACTGAGTTCCTTACTTTGTCGGCATTCTTCTCAATGGCGCTTCGTACATTCAACCCGGCCATATGCATAATTGCATATTTTTCTCACACAAAAGGGGGAAGGAATAGGAGCTTTCCATTTTAGTGAAAACACTAAGTGAAGATGCCTAAAGTTAGGGCCACCTGTACTTTTTAACTTAATTTCTGAAGCTATTAGCCTGTTTGACTACATCTTTCAGAAATGACTATTCAGGTAAGTCTGATGATATACTACTGTGTAGGTCTGATATACCACTGTATTTATGTTGATATATGTGTTAAAATCAAAATTGTTAGCTGCTTTCATACTTAGAGAATTGTAATTCTTGACTCTCGGGTCGGACATGGTTGAGCCAACCACTCACTCAGGGCAAAGCCGTAGATATAGAATTTGGCCAACCAAAACACAGGTATCATATTGTTACTCAGCGGGTGGGAAATCTTCTTGGGCTGTCTCCCACATAATGATTGGATTTATAATTAATATATTTTATATGGAGAAACCATTATTAATGAGATGTCGAAGAGGGTCCTCATATTATTACCAAATTGATAAGTATACTACTGTATACTACATACAGAATTAAATCAATACTAATCAATATCCATACACCATTTATTTAAATTTCTGTAAGGGCAAGTCGCATGGCAAAACTCTTACTTCCCAGTTTACTCCATGACTTTCCTTATTGCACATCATCTTTATGAATGTTTTGCTGCTTCCATGCATAAATATGTAATCTCACTGAAAAAATGCAAAGCAACAGTTTCCTATTTTCATGACAGGAGGATAGATCGGCATGCTTCGTGCAGCTTTTCACCTTGTGGACACAGTAACCAGCAAGGTAATACAAGCTGTTTTGTTCAGCAATATTTGGAGCAGGCTCAGGTGACAGCTGCTCAACAGCACTTTTACTTCCCATTGATGCACCTCCTATTTTGGTCTCAGGGGAACTGGTGCACTATTTTGCCCCTTCCTGGACAAGTAGAACATCCACATGCTACACAGCAAGGCATATCGAGTTACTGAGATAAAGCGGGAATCTTCCTGAAAATAACTACCTAACAGCTTTCATTGGTCAAGTTGCCTTACCGTTTACAATTGTCGCACCGTCTCGCCACACAGGAAACTTTACAGTATACTCCCATGGCCTCCATACACCATATGCAGGACCTCCATTGACTATATTCATGCTGACCTGTATAACTGCATAGTTTATAAATGTGCTTAACCAACTGTAAACCTGTATGACAATTTTACTAAACCACCACCACCACCACCACCATCATCCTCCTCCTCCTCCTTCTCTACAGTACAGTAATCCCGTGTTTTTCGCGGGAATTACGTTCCTGAAACCCCCACGAAAAGCCAAAACTGCAAATACTCTTTTAGGAATCACTGTACCTGTGGCCACCAAACAGCTCAGGTAGGTCATTCACTTAACCACGCCATGCTCTCCACTCACAGTCCAGTGATCAGACTGATCACTGATGCACTGTACCGGCATTTACTAACATCATTATTTGAAACTAATCATATTGTAGTACAATAATAGAAAAACGTAAACATAGTTATATACAAAAAACTTTATTACAAGTAAATAAATTTCTTTATATTTCGCTGAGGTCAGCAACACCCACATTGCCAGCCTCTCCTTGCTGTCCCAGCGTCTGCCCACCCTCACGTAGTCAAGCCAGCCAGTCCTCTTCCACCCACATTCCTCCACTTGAAGACTTGTATTCTGACAAGACACAAATAAATTGTCAGTCTTCACCATGTCTCAAGCCATAGCTCATACCACCTCCGAGCTTGTCCAATAAACTGTTTTTTCCGTTAAGGTCATCACTATTCTTGATCTCTTGGTCACTTATCGAGTCTTTGCTCATAATATTTGCCTTGGATGAGGCTAGCTTACATCCCAGAGCCATGTGGAATGCACATGGGAGGACTAACAGAAGAGGTACCGGTAATCACAGTAGCATTCACAATACGGTAGGCACATGTGGACTGAGGCTTCTCGGAGCAGCGTGTGTCTGAGGTGGGAAAGGGTGGCGTCTGTTTGCCGCACTGCACGGGGGAATATAAAAAATGGTGCGAAATTAAAATTTTGTTTTTTAAAGGATATTTTATATACTGTATACAGGTACTGTATATATAATTTTTAAGTAAAAAAATCCGCAAATGGTCAAAACCGCGATAGAAAACGAGGTATTACTGTACAGTACTAACGTAAATTCAGCTGATTAACAACTTGGTGCTTGCATATCACAGTATTGGCTCAGCTACCAATAATCAGGTTCGATCACCTGGTTGGCCAAATTCTCTATATCTACGGCTCTGACTCAGGGTCCTCGCTGACAGCTCTTCATAAGATACTAATACTGCCTGATCTACCAAAGTGCATAATGCTCCCCATTGCCTGGTATTAAAATCCATGTAAACCTAAATCATACTTGGTCATATACAAATGAAAACCAAAATTTTGCCACTTTTTTCATGAATAGGTAAATAAATTTTGTACTGTACATGAAATGTGTATGAAAACCCCTATGCGTTTTAAAATTCATATTCTCTTCACAATCGGTTTTAGACCATAATTTTACGTATTATTTCTACCCTTTTTTTTTTTACACTTAACATACTGTATACATCTTTATCCTTATCAATTCACAACATATCTTGTCATATTGTAATGCCTTTTGTAAAATGTACTAGTTTCGTACTTATATAAAGTACTTCTAGTCATTCTCATTTTGTTTTCTAAAGTAGATAAAGGGATTGACCTTTGTCAATTAAAATAATGTGATTCGTAAAGCATTTTTAATTACACCAAATATTAGATTTTCATTTTTGTTTTTCATTCTTGGTAACAATGAGGAAAAATGAGCTTTTATAAACTTTGCGTATTGATATTTTAATGGTATGATAAATTATAAATGTAATTCTTTGATGTACATTTAAGTTAAAAATGTATAAACTACACCCTTCCTATTACAGATATGTCTCAATATACGATACAGTACAGTATTTCAATTTAACACTTTGGAAACATACTTTGTTTCCAAGCTACATCTCCAAGAAGTCAATTCTCCATTAAAATACGAAAACGGTACAGGTATCCCCCGATTTATGATCATCCGTTTTACGATAAATCGCTTTAACATTAATTTATGTTAAGCAAAATCCATGTTAACCATCATTATAGTTAGACTAAACTCACTGCCACAAAATGTAAATACTGGGGAATCGTACATTTCCTTCACTTCATCAAATCCAAGATGACTGATATGCGCAGAAACTGCTTTTCCATCCTCCGCGCAGCTTAACTGTACAGCCACCATGCGAAATACAGTCGTGTTTTGTTTTAAGGTGATCGTATCTGCCCTCACTCATGTAACAAACGTTATCATTTATCAATCGTTGCATAAACTTGTGATCAGTGATACTTTGACATTATTGATGAGAAGAAAACATAATTGTTCAGATTTTGCTCTGATTTGGTGACTGAAGTGATCAGTGTAACTGCAACTTTGAAAATGGCTAGCAAACATAAGTTTGATGTCACTGCTCCATCAACAGAGTTTCTATAGCCTCAGAGAGGACAGGTGATGATAACCAGGCTTGTTATTATTAATGTGGCAAGTGCGTAACCTCCTGTATACATTTACACAGCACTTACTTTTATTTTGTAGCAGATGAATCTTGAAGTGAAGGATGAAGGGGGGCTGCTTGCACTTACAGTGCACATACTGTATTCACACTTATATTTAATTACAATTCATATTTAGTTACACTCATATTTAGTCTGTACCTAAATCTAGCTGATGTCTTAAAAAGTAATCGACTTCAGACCAAAATTCTCACAGATAACATTCATGAAGACCCCAGCGTTGATTCGAACTCATATCTTCAATTGGTGCTGTTCTGAGCACCAGTGGTGCCTTTACTTGCTTGAGAAGTCATTATAATACACTAGGAAAGCACTAAATGTGAAGAAAAAAAATCAGAGTGCACGGCAATAACAAACATGTGGAACCTGCCGCCCCACACCAGAGCCCATCTAACTTATAGGGACTTTCCGACTGTAGTTACAGATGAAAAGGGAAATTATTTCTTGGTGGTGAAGGGCGACTTGCAATGTTCAAGGGGATTATTTAAAATTTCACGTCAAACGTAATAACATGTCTTTTCTTTTTAATACCACCAGACCTAGCATAAATTTTACTTTACTTCTCTATTCTCATGGTACTGTAGAGTATAACAAAATATTTGGTCACGTTACAAAATATCCTGAACTGTGCATTGTAAACACTTGTTAACTAATGAATGCAGTGATCCTTTTACTGTAATAAAATTTTTCTGGGCATTCTTCACAAAATAAATTAAAATTATGGTAATTTAGGGCACCATGAAAGAACAAAAGTGAGATATCTTATCGTTATACAGTATATCAAGGGTCTACTAGAGAACAATTGTCTGACAAAAGAAAACCAGTAAATACTTGAATACTCACCAACTTAAGATCTGCCATTTTCCTTTGGGTCTGGTCCTTCCATTTACGTTCACTAACATCTCATTGTACCAGTCACCACCAGTCTCACTATCTTTTGCCTTGTTACAAAGGAAAATGAAAATGTATTGGCAAAATCTTCCTAAACTTGGCTTGTTCGGAGAATACTGGCGACTTCGCCTTTCGGCTATTTTGGCCGTTCTTAAGCACATACAATTACAACTCTTAAATTGGCTTACTCTAATGGTTTATTGTGTAGTTAAATGTTGTACCTTTGTGTTTTTTATCCATGGTGTGGGTCACTTGTATTGTCCATAAAAAAAGACACTGATGTGAACCTGCCAATGTCCATTAAACAGAAAAAAGAAAGTACAGATCATTACACTAAAACCAACTTTTAGTGGAAACAGTGAGATCATCCAAATTTTTCCAATTATTTTATTATATCTGTTACTGTACTTCCATTCACAAGCTTTACATGTCTGCAAGGTAGATGACAAGAATTTAAGACCATCCTAAATACAGCAGTATTGTAAATACATTAAAGGGAAAGTGATGTAGCATCATTGAGGTCTTTATATCATGAGTGAGTTATATGTATTGGTTTTATATATGATACTGACATTTAACTAAATCCAATATTTACCAGTTTAAATCTACAATTATGCTGATATTAACCATCACTTTTTCCCTTTATAATATATGATGAATTCATCGATGATGAAGCTTCAATAAAGCCTACTTCCATATTGAACAGAACAAAAAGAACATTTAACCCCCTAGCCCCGGGCTAGGGTGCTGCTAGCCGTGTCCCCCCCATGTGGGGGTAAATCGAGAAAAATCAAAACTTTTCCTAAACTAATTTTTAACCTTATTAAATGATAAAAACAATAAAAAAGTAAGAAAAACTATATATTGAACCTCTAGAAACTTCCCTGTGGCAGCAGTGGAGAGGGAGATAAAGGGACAGTGTTGTTTTGACAGCTAACACTCATGGTCACTATGCACTTAGCGGCCATTTTCTGCTTGCCTTTGTGTCTGGGATGGCCAGTAATGCATATATTTACTGATCATAATACTTATTTGTTATAAATAATTCATTTAAAATATTTGCATTATTTTTCATAAAAAGTGCTTAGCAACACACACGCAGTTAGTCGCCAAGCTGTCTGTCTTTGCGTTTGGTAGAGCAAGTAATGCATAAAATAATAATCATTCCACAAATAGATACATTTATAACATAATCATAGCATTATATTCCAGTAATACTACACTACAACTATTCTACTTTTAACAATATTACTTTGAAACATGATAAAATGGACAAACAAAAGTAGGTAATTACGTTCAGGAGGCTTCCTTGTGGCCGAGCGTGTGGCGTGACAGGCAAATAGTCACATTGGAACCTGATAACCCCCGCGCTGGGCATTTAAACAGTGGCAGGAAAAGGCGCTCGTTCTGGAACGTCACCTGGGGCGTGCTAGTCGGGCGTTCTGGTATGTCACCCGGGGCGTAAGGGTTAAGAAAGGGAACCTTGACCTCATAATCCATGTTTCCATCATATATATGCAAAGGCATGATACACACTTCATACACCATCACTGTACAGTGCTATTAAACAACATCCAATCACACTCGCACACAACACTACCATTTGCTTCTCTATATGGGACAGTTACATTATTTCAATTGCAAACTTCCTCCTACATATATGGTGCAGTGATGATATACCGTGTAGTCAAACATAAGACATGGTATTAATAAAGAAATGAAAAGTAAAGTTTACAAACTACAAAAAAATCTCCTTTTTGGACTATACATAATGAAAATAGGCACTTTATCAAAATCTAAATGGACATTAACTATTAGTTCTTTGCTGTAAGCAAATGGGAAACTATGCTCTCATTATGTCATTCATGTTCACAACCTATTTGTTTTATTCGCTTCCCATAAGTATTTATGGACTAAACAAAAAACATGAATCACAAGAATAATGAAAAATCAGCATATTACCACAAACTTTCAAAGGAAGATACAAAAGGGCACTTGTATAAAAATAACAAACATTCACACAATGCTGGCATTGTTTTTTGCAAAATTTGACACTTGGTGCTTGTCACAGCACACAAATAAACTGTGACGCGAGAATACCTTGCTGGCCGCACAATGGACTAAACAGTCTTCAGTGCTGTCACGCACTACAACTTTCCTCATGCACAAACCTAGAGATCATTGGCATACATATGTTTCTTTATCAGTAGTATGTGTAATTACAATACACTCTTCTCTTACCAGGATCAAGTATTACCAGATTCTAGCAATGTTTGTGCAAAAATTGTGAGATTTATACAAAGAATTAAAAAACTTGAATAAAACTTGAAACATAAATTATATATTAATTCTCAGGAATGAAATTCACACACACAAAAAAAAAAAATTCACATAAGCATTATTAGTGAGATGACCAGTGAGCCTGAAGCTTAATTTATGATTCCCATGAGACTTACCCTCCTTTTTTTTAAACAAATAAAATAGCTTGGTCTCATTGCACCATTTATCAAGGATCAACCTCACTCCGCTCATCACATTCTAAATGGAAAGAATACTAGCAATGCTTAATTGTGATTCAAAAGCTGACAAGAGGCACATTTACATCTTAATTGCAACACTTACATCAATGCCTGATGGCTATATAGAAATGTTTACTTATTCTCCTTGACAGGAACACTTTCTTATCAACTATATAATTCTGCAACAATGCTGCTAAATTGTGGGGCATATTCACTGGAGATTCTATGAAGATGAGATTCCATATTTCCACTGCATATATTGCATCTGATCATGATGGATAACTTAAATTAATTAACACTGGTGAGCTTGGGTTCAGATGGCCCACTACAGCTCTCATGAGTCCTCTCTCATATGCATATGAGCCATCACACTTCTCACTTTGATTATCCCAGTGTGGGGATACACCCACTCAAAAAGTGGCAAACTGTTTTATCAAGATTCACTATTTTTGTCCTTTGCAATTGGTGTAATTATTCCTTTACCTCCCCTAATCAAAAGTATAAGAGGAAGTATCATTTCTGTGGCCATTTTGGCACAAATAATATTAAGAGACATAGTATTAACAACATATGGTTTCACAGTTCTTATAAGTATTCCAAACTAAATGTTTAATACTTTAACTCACAGATACAAAGTGTCATGACCTATGTTATATTACAAGGCCATGTAATAATTAACTACTCTATCAGGAATTCTGAGGTAAATCATCACTAAAGGGCTCTGATGGATGGACCTTAGTGTCTTCTATATCAGAAGTTTTCATTCACCAACCTGTAATTGTTTCATATCAAAATACTTTTAAGTGTGTTGTCACTGGGTATTTTTAAAATAATTGTGAAATATTCTAATTCCACAGGTCATAAATAATCTCATAGTTCTTTGATTGATTGCTGGATCTTATCAGTTCATCATCCTCAACACCACTGCTGACGCTCAATAATGTAAACTTATTTATTGTGGTACCATTAAGACAATAAGATCACGTATACACATCAAAACAAATTTTAGTATCTAGGTCAGTTACTAGAAACCCTGAAATGACAGCATACTACAGATATACAAATCTGAAAAAGTGACCAAAGGAAGGGTGTTGACAGGTATGTGGCCTTAGGTGAAGATTGCCACTTGACGAAGATGGTCTCTAGACAAATGTGGCCACGGCAGATGGTGATTTGTCCTCGGGGGCTGGCTTCCTCTTACCGGTGGCTCCTCCATACTGTCCAATGAATGACCCATCTTCTGTGAACCTTCCTGGATTGCATATACAAACTTTAATTAGTAAACCTGTATATAATAAATGGAGAGACAATAAAAATTAAAAGTTCTTCCACACACTGTTGATACATTACACGATAATCATGGCAATTAAAATAGGTACTGTATAGAAAATAAAATTCACTTCATATATGATGATAAGCCTTCTTGAGAAAAAATTGGTAATTCAGGGTGATCTGTGCTCACTGACTTATTCTTTACAAATCTACATCATGAAATAACGTAAAGCTATTATGCTTTGTCAACATCCAATGCTACAATGCATTATTTATTGTATCAGAATAAATCTTTTTTAAAGTATGTCAAACTATTACTGAGATTAATTTGTGAATCTTCAACACTAAAGAATATTCTACAGACAGTAGTGAAAGATTAGTTGATTAAAAAACACAGTAATGTCTGGAAGGTAAAAATAATAAAGGTTAATTAGTATCTGGATTTTATTTTATTATTATTTTTTTTTGGTAGGGGGGGGGGGGAAGTTAACTACAGGGGGTTATGTCAACATTTATCAGTATGGTAATCTAAAGTCTTCAATTATACTAAATATATTTTATCACTACACACTTAGGAATGATAATGTGCAGTGCAAAAGAACAAAGGTTTTGTTAATAAATTAGTTTAATTTTAATGTTTTTTATTTTATTTATTTTAAATGATTATATATCATCAACACAACAGCAAATACCAGTGTTAAAATATTGGAACTGCAAAGGAAGCAAGCTAACAGATCACTTTCAATACTAGTTATCTTTAATAGTGACTTACTAAAACATTAAATCAACTACAGTCCTGTCCCTGTTTCATAATCAAGATCTTGGTTAATAATAAAACAATTCTACCTTTACAATTGAAAGCCATATGAAAGCTGATATTGGACACAAAGATATGGAACCAAACCTTTCACATAATATAAAATCCAAGGCTTACATGTAAAGGAATGCAGGTATTACATCAAACTAGGGTGGCAAATGCATTGGATGTTGTCTCGCCTTTCTTCCGGCCGTACTGACCAATGAAGGAACCATCTTCAGCCATACCTGCTCCTGAGAGGGGCCAAATATTCAAGCAATCAGCATACAAGTATATATATACACAAGCAGTGGATTTCTAAGTATAAGAAAACAACTGAAAATACTATCATCTACAAAATACAAAAAGAAAGCTTTTGTTCTGGCATAAAACAGTACACTATGGTCGATTACCCAGACACCCTAATCATGTATGGAGAGGATGATTTGTTTTCAGTGTCATTCAGTTATGCTGAAAATATTGTGTCTATAAATATGTGATCACATGCTGTCAGGCACAAAAAAAAAATTATGAAAAATGCACATGTATACATGTTTAATGCAAAACTCTCGTAGTGTTCTGAAATGTGTTATGTACGGCAAACAAAGGGCACGATTCCCTTACACTGAGAATGCAGGTAGGAGGGGCAATTAAAACTCTGGGAGTAAAACACTAAGCCAACATCTAACATACATATATAGTATTACTGTATATTAATTTCCATTCTATAATTGGAGTTATGCTCTCTATCGAGGAAGGGCATTCCCACATGTTCAACTCCTGACAAGTTGTAACATCCATACCTCCCAACAGTATCTCTATTCATGTGATCATGTGAGACTTCAATTACTGTCCTTTCTGTATCTTAAAAGCAGACTTTTTTTTTTTACCACTACAGTATATGGTAATTCTTACTATACAGTAACGTAATTGAGCATGGGGATTGAAAATTACCAAAATAGGATTCTAAATTTATTTAATATAATATTGTACTTACTGACAAATAGTGTAATATTGTGTTGTACTGTAGTACTAAGTGTACACCTACTGTACCTAATTCATTTATCATTGAATTTTTTTGGCCATTTTCCATGCTTGCATGGATAGCCATAATTACCTGATGACAGCTGCTGGGTAAATCCAGAAAGGGATGTCCCCTCCCCACAGCAAACATAATACACCAGCCCTAAATATGCAGCAGAGACCTCAGGATGGGCACAGCTCTGGTGACCCAGTTGCCATCAAAATCAATATGAGAATGATGGACTATTTCTAACAGAGCTTTATGATATAATACCTCAAAGGCTTCTTTATCCTGTCACTGTGGTGTAATAAATACCAGATAATCGACTCATTGGTGCTTACGTGCTTCAAAAAAAAAAATAATGCAAGCCAATAAAACAGAGCTGTGAATTTTTTATATACATAGAAAGTAAAGTAATATTTCACAATAAATGCATGTGCAAGATCGCATTCACTTGAGCATCTAATTCATAAAGCATACACACGTTTGTCAGGAATCAAGAATATGACAATTCAATACTACCATTCTTGCAAAGAAAATTATATATACAGTACAGTAGAATTTAAAGACGAGGGTTTGGAAAGGGCGTACTGCATACTGTTAAGGATTGTAAATGATGAGAAGTGGTTAAGGTATAGTAATAGAAGATGTACAGTACAGTACTGTATGTGTAAAGGAGGTGGGGATGACCAAGAGTTGAAGAAAAAGGAAGTAACAGTTTGTCACGAGGACTGGAAGAACACTTGGTTCACTTCAAAGTGATATTTTGTGGAAAGAATCACACAAGAGATAGTACAGTAATTGTAATTTTTTTTTAGCTAAATTGAAAATTGTTAAATAAACTGCAAAACATGAAGCATATCAAAAGAAGTTAGGAACTATTGACACATGAACAGCACTATCCAAAGACTATTACAGAACATGGAAAAGCTCTTGGCAAGATAAAATTACAATCTTGATTATCCACAAAACATTACAACATGGTTCCAAATTGAAAATGCATTTATGATTTCACGGAGTCTCAAACTGAATTTTCTAGTATAACTTTATGATACCAAACATCTGTCCACACACACACACTATGATTTGCCATACCTTAACTTCAAGTCTTCCTATACATAAATCTATCCCAAGACCTTAATTTATATACATTACCTATACTTTTTTTTAATATAAGAATATATTTTAAATGCAGATATTCAAAGAATTGTATTGTCTACTTTTTACTAAAACGGAAGTAATGTGATAAATAATTGTCTTAAAAGTTTACTCTCTTCATTTCTAGCATTTAATTATCAAGTGTGTCAGTTTAAGTATTTAACTTCTGAAAGAGGTTACACAACTTTGTAACCTACATTGAGCTGTGATTTTAGTATTTTGAAATAAAAAAATATATACTGTATAAACTATGTCATGTAAGACTATCAACACCATCCATGTTTAATCAAGAAAAAGTAGAGGTTGTGACAACAGTAACTCTGGGCACACTTCATCTTACAAAAACAGTGATGGTGACTGTGTGGAACGACCCATGTGTGTGTTAATGATATCTGGGTAATCAAGGCAGCCATTAATAGTAACATGTAAGTAATGCAGGCTCTAGCTAGACACAGAATGAATAAAATCACAATACAACACAACAAGAAAATGCAAAATTACTACAACACTCATAAAACAATGTCCTACAGTCAATCAAACAAACCCAAGATAGAAAACTTACCCGTGTCTCCATCTCCGTACTCTGCCATAGAGTCCGTGTCTGATTCTATTGGGTTTTTCACATCACTTCCCAGACTATCCCTCTTTGGTCCATCCAAACTGTAAAATTGAAGTTAATATTACTTAACATACTGTATAACTGCAAGAAAACAATTTAATGAAACAATATGACTACAGAAATCCTAAACATTGTGACTGAGATAATGCTAAATTATTATTTATCCTGTGTAAGTGTATCCTTAATGACCTTATAATACTTTTCAATTAAGGCCGAGTTTGATTGGTTCATGCCATGAGTCATCATTAAGAGTTTATACTTACAGACACTTCATATGCACATTTTAATTTTATGTTTATATGTTCACCTTTATTATTTTTTTTTGTGGCAAGGTGATTTATTCTTTCAATTAAGAATAGTCAGCAAGTTTTCTAATGAAATTTGGGCTGAATAGCTGTGCACCAGTAAACTGAACAATTATAATTCCGGAAACACATTGCAACACTGTAATGCCTTACAAGTCTAACCGAGGCAGGCCTAGTCTCTTTGTCCAGGAAGGAAAAGGGCTGCTCAACTTGTCATTTATTTTGGGCTTTTATTATTCAATCACGCCTATAATAAACAGACCGAACTAATTGGGGCAGACCCCAGCCCGAAAATGTGAAATTCCAAAAAAGATGAATCTGGGGGTCAGGACCGTTTCCAGAAAATCGGACATTGCTAAGTCTGGTTGCCAGTGACAGTTTTCACTGATATGACTGTTTTGTACTGTAAAGTATTTACCTCTAGTATAAATAGAGGTGCTTCTCCATATTCACCGGATAGGAGTGATAACCAACCAGGGCTGCCTAATCATACTCGCCATGGCAATTGATAATTTTGCCTCATGCGAAAGTGAAGGAGACCTCGCAAATAGATCTTACGACTTTGAAAAGTTTTATATTGAATAATTCTTCAATCTGAATGAGAATGCATGAATATAAGACATTAACTTCATCAATAGCCAGATTTTTGAGGTTCTACTGTAAAATAAAAATTAAAACAACAATCAAAATAATGAGTAATTCTTTTAACAGTTGAATTTTTTTTTTTTTTTAATTACTAAAAGTTACGCAAGACAGAGAGAAAATTTCAAAAACATTTTATCTGACATACGGCTGGGCAAATTCAGGGAATCCTTGTTCTTCATTAAAGTCGGTACGTCCATGGGCAGCCTCTCGTTCCTGGACAGCATATTTTCCTCCACGATTACGTTTGACAATGCATACGATGATGAGGATCAGGAGAAGGAATGCAATGGCAAGCATCATCCCAATAAACCAACCACGAGTTGCAATGCTGTCAGTCGGGCGAAGAATCACTCCTGAGGTCTGCAAATAATACAGGAAAATCTGAAGATGTTTCCCTACCAAAATAACAACTAAAAGACTGAATGCAAGCCACACTTAAAGCAAAGGGGCAAAGGATGCCAGTGAATAAAGTTCAGCCAACAAGGAGAGGCCAAAGTTTGCATTTTGCAAAAATCTGTAAATTTGCCGTCTAAAAATGAAAAGGTTTTGAAAAATATGAAAGAGACACTAGAATTAAAATTACTGGTGTACTAGAATATGTTGAATTCAAAAGATGAACTTGCATAGTAGAATTGGGATAAATTACAGTAATTAAAGCCAAACTCAAGTTGTTCAGATCAATATGGAAGATGGTACCTAGATCATGGGATGCATTGACAAAACTTAACATGTTTTGTTCATTAGAATAAGAAATTTATTTTCCATACATTGTGCTAGGGATTACCTAATCTGTCTAGAATCAAGTTTTCCATAAATGTTTACTAATGTATGTTATCTATTAATTATTGCTTTAAGTGTAATTTGTTTAAGAAAACTAAGGAGCTAAAGGGTAAAATTTGTTTCCAAGAATAATGTTCTCATCAGCTACTCCATTAACACAGTGAAAACAACAGTAGATGATACTTTAGTAGAGTACAGTGCAGTAAGTTCTGCCACTATATCCATAAATCAGGAAGGGTGCTGGTACCTAATTTACGATCTAGACAATTTCCACTGTGCAATGATACTTAAAAGATATAGTATGGAAGAGGAACACTTATCTTTTTCTTTTCCTTTTTTTTCCGAGGGGAGGGGAGAAAATGACAAGAGAGTTTCTGCACATATATCAAGATTGTGAAAATTTACAACCAGACAAACAAATGAAGGGTGATAACAGTCCCCTCAGAAGAGGTATATATCACTTACAACACCAGTTAGGTGAGTGTCAATCTCTTCTACATCCGACTCGGTTGAATAAACTCCATCCACAGCCACCAGACACACTTGGTAGGTCTCTTCAGCTTCGAGACCCTTTAGTACAATGAAGTCTTGGTACAGTTCTGGCTTGGTCTCCAGGAACATGCTCTCCCCATACAACCTGAAAATTTTAATTCACATACACAACCAATAACAGGATCACGTCGCATCTTACTATAACATTATGACGACAGATGTCTGGATATTTAGAGCCACTGTGTGAAGGAGAATAAATCACCTCCAGGAAGAATGAATGAATGAAAAAGAATGGAGGCAGTAGCATAGTGTGTCTGTATTTGCTCTTGACTATTAATAAAATAAGTTCACTCTAAATGTCACACTTAGATAAATGTACAGTAAGTGTATCATGTTTACTATTAGCACCCAAAGTAAAAATTGTCTCATGTCCATCCCATTAGAGACATCCAAACCCATCATCACACTTACCTGTATTTGATGAAGAAGTGTGAGCCAGGGTTGGACTCAGTGTTGGGGATCCAGGTGATCTTAATGGCTGGAGCTCCTGTCTTTGTACTGATGTGCTGCCAGATGAAAGACGGTTTCCCTGGTGGTGTAGCTTCAGTGCTTCGAGTCATTCGCTCAATGTAGTAGGTGGACCCTAGACCCATCTAAAATATGAATAAATCGATCATGTAATAAGTGGATAAAAATGTGCAACACATGTCCAGCAGACTTTAAATGATATTTTTTATTGTTACATTGACCAAACTCAAATTAGACCATCCCTAAGCTCATAATTTGCCAAGTTTATTGTGCATGGAAGTCTGTGTGTGTTATAGTTTAGTTTCTTGGAAGCAATAAAAAGCTTCAAAAGTTGGAAGACAATGATCACTGGGTGGATGATCATGGTTAAAATACACCAAACCCTTTAATAGCAACTACTATGGAATCTCTTGAACCTAATTTAATAGTCACCTTAATGGTACTGGGTATATCAACCTCCCAATACCAAGTTAATAGAGCAGCCTAGTTCTTATGGACACCTTACAGTATACAGATCTTAAGATAAGTCATGGAAACACTGACTTACACAACCACATACAATACTTACTGCAGTGCGAGCCACAACTGTGATACGGTACTTTGTTGCTGGCTTCAGTGATGCAAGTTTAGCTCTAGTTACTGTGTGATCATTTATGGGAGGATCACGCTCTGACTGAATACCTATACTGGTGCCATCAACCTCTTGAAAGTAGATGTGGTAACCAGTCAAAATACCATTGGGCTGCTTAGGTTTTTTCCAGAGGAGGAAGAAAGCAGATGAACCCATGGGGATAGCATCAAGGTAGTCAACTGGACCAGGCTCTGTGAGTGATATAAAGCATTCGTAAATATTTTGATATCAGTATATTTTGGGCAGAAATTTCAATCACCACATTTGAATCTAGAAGAGAAGAACTTCAAGTGAAAGTGGAGAAGTAATTGGAGGACTGATCAACTACATCAGAGTGTTAAGTGAACAGATTTAATGCATTCCAGCAGAGTGGATGTCTCAATTTATTTGGTCTTAAAATGAGTTTAGGATGATTATGCTTAAGTTGTTCTTTGTTCTATTTTCTCACATGGTTAATCTCCTCAATCCTTGTGAACCTGCTTGCCTTTTTTCCATCCTATTAACTGCTGTGAAACATGGCTTATAAAAATTTGTCTAAAAATCAGTTATTATTTTGGTAATTTGTTGCTATCAAATATAAATAAAGTGAGAACTAAATATATACACATGCTTAAGACGAGATGAATTTTGGTTTAAAAAGCTATCATAATATTGGATGGATTGTGCTGTAGGGAAAGGAGTGACTGAAAAACAGTACCTGTATACAACTCAGGTGAGGTATGGACATAGGAATAAAAGAGCTAGGTGCGAGATGAATGGCAGACCGAGTTGAAAAGGCAAAATGAGGAAAGTGATTATGGAAAATATTAGTACAGAATATTGCAAGGAGTCCAACAAGATAATATAGTCTTGTTTATGAAAGAGAGCGTATTGGATGTATAAACATACTGGACTGCCATACACACTTACTTCCTTCTGGTGTGTTGAAACTGATGGATTCACTGGGAGGACCGTCAAAAGCACCGTTGAACACCAACACACGCACAAAGTTCTTAGTGAATGGAACAAATGAGGTGACGAGAGCAGTGGGCTCGTTGTTGTTCTCTACGATAATATCCCGAGCCTTGTCCTCACTTTCATGTTCTGTCCAAGTTTGAATCTGTAAAATAACCATGTTCAGTAGTGTTAAAATAACCATGTTCAGTAGTGTTAAAATAACCAAGTTAAGTTTAGTGTTACCCATTTACCAGTTATAGAGAATCCCTCAATATTCCCCCACAATTTCTCCCTAGTCTGTCATGTACTATCAACATGAAACAATTCAAATTCTAACCATGAGTCAAACACAAAATATTCAAGATTATCACAGAAGCATATAAAAAGTTAAATAAACATTAAGGCCACATAATACAGTTACAACCACAAATTACAACTCGAAATTTCTATATACATATAAAAAATAAATAAAAATAAAATCCCAAATACTGTAACATACAAGACCTTCAATACAGTGATTCCATATTTCACCTTCAAAATTGCCCCACTCTCCTGGTATATGAAGTGTTTCCTGCATTTCAACTTATACTTCATGTCTAGATTCCAAAGAAATCCCAAGTCTAACCTTGTATCCTAAGAAGTGGCCTCGGATAGATTCATTTGAGACGGGATCCCATGCCAAGAGTGCAGTGGTTGCATCCTTCAAATCAAGTAAAGTCAAATTCCTCGGGGCTTCGTTTGGAACTGCAAGAAATAAAATGAAACTATAATTAGTACAGAAAATTATACTTTACTTAAAGTCAAAGGACCTGATGGTAAAAAACCTGTAAAAAAAAAAGGAGACTGTACAACTGAGAGTAATGATGCATAAAGAGTAACAGTACTATAGTTAAAAGTTTCCCATCAACAACAATGGAATCTGATACAGTACACGAGATATAAGGCTCCTCTGTGACACTAGATAAAAATAATGACCTGGACGACAAAAGTAACTCAAAGTGGAAAGATTTACTGGTGCTTTAAGTACACACTTCACTCAAGTATGTACCCAAACCTAAAACTACTCAAACAATGACATATGAACAGTTCTTTAGAGACTTAATGGTAATACACATAAAATAGAATATACTATTTCAAAGGACCACAGTACAGAACTTTATCATATCAAGTGACCAATCAAATTTACTTTTGGCTACAACATAATAATACACTAGAATGAGTAAAACTTTTGAAGAAGACAATTTCTCCAATTGATCTTGAGGGAGGGAGGGAGGGACAGAGGGCACATCTACCAATCATAATAATCACAAGAGTTGTCTGCACTCACCATCTTCTCCCGACCATCCAATAACCTCAGGAGCAGCAACATGAGCTTGGCCCCGATCATTGTGTGCTTCAACCTTGATTCTGTAAGGCTTGAATGTTGGTTGGTCTGGCACTAACTTGTGGTCCTGTTGCCAATCAACAACGTCATATGTTTCCCACCTTGCATTTTCTATGTCCTCACGTTTCCAATACACACGGTATTTGAATCCTGGACCATTGTGCTCAATCTCTGGCATAGACTAGAAAAGAGTAATGCTATTAGGTATGTAATTTAAAGAAAGATTTAAAAATAGTCAATAAAAACTTTGGACTGACCGATTTATTTTTTTGGGGGGGAAGAGGCTTCAGCAACTATGCCTATATTTCCCCAATGATGTCTTACCCACCAAAGAGTTACAAGATGTACAGGACAGGGGACCAACCAGGGGTTTCACTTGTGGGCCTTTCAGCAGAATGACCAAGACAGTCGTGTTTTTGGCATCACTGAGCCCACAGAATATGAATGCAGCACTGGCAATCCAAGGATTTGCAATTTTTGTGCTACCCCCTAAACCCTAAGGTTGGCCTTGGAGATCTGGTAATCATGCCGCTGCTTTCATATAATTGTCATATATATTTTTATTCATTTGAATCAATACCTCAAGATGGTCAACACGTCATGCACCTGACAGGATCATCTACTACTCCACAGCCATGTAGTGAGCTTATTTAAACATCTATTTTAATATACTTTACATCTAATAGTTTCAAACACATTTTTCATAATAGTCTTACCACCACATGATAGCAGGTTTTGGAAAAAAAAAAAAAAAAAAGGTTTGGGGGGACAAGAATGACATCACCTCAGTCAACTTACCGACCACTTAATCACCAAGTCATTTGGTGTGGAACCTTTTCCCTCGACCCCATCTGGATTTTTGTAGGGAACATCATAAGGGGTTGTGCACATCTCTGAGTGGTCTGAAGGTTGTGATGGTCCAATTGCATTACGAGCAATTACCCTAAATGTGTAGTTTGCCCATGGACTTAAATTGATCTGAAATAAAGTAATTAAACCATAATTAATATAAACTCTAGTAACAGACACATTAAAGATATCTATTAAAAAGGTTTATAATACACACTAAAATTTTTATAAGAAACCCAATTCAACAAATAAAATATCAGCTATATAAATAAAATCTCAAACATGACAACTTATTTTCTACTCACATTAAATTGTGTACTGGTGGCAGGAACTGAGTCAAAGGCATTCTCCCAGGTGTCAGGTGTGAAGCTTGTGTTATACTGAATGACATAACCCAGGATAGGTGCTCTGTTGTCACCCATGGGCTGCCATTCCACACTTGCATCACGGTCATTACATATCACCGGCAGTAACAGTTGGGGAGGGTTGGGCACATCTGCAGAAATGGATTACAAATTAATCATAAAATGAATAATTCTGTATTTATTATGATACATGTGACCGACTGTAACTACTGTACTAAAAAGACAATACTGTACATACCATTATATCTATAAAATTGGCACAAATTCTTTTAAGTCATTAAAAAATTGTCTTTCGATTGAAAAAAATATAAGGTTTTCAAAAAGCTGAAGAGCAGTACTGAACTGTATGTAGCATCAGTTAAGTTGTAGGATGTAGCATCAGTTAAGTTGTTGGGTTAATACTATACAAGCAGTGAGCTCCTGTGACAAAAAAAAAAAGAAAAAAGAAAAGAAAAAAGCAGGATCCTTAATACTTTTTCTAGCATTTCAGACTCTACTTGTACAAAAGATAATAAAGTGCCACAGCTGGGGGCAGGGCAGTTAACTTGCCTGATGTATGGCCCATATTAATATACCAGTATTTTCAGTTGTGTCAGGGGTTTAAGACATATCAACACATACTATTTATCTGTTAACTGCAGAAAACACTTTCAGAGCATATAGGCTGCAAACTTTAACACTATACAGTACAGTACTCGCCTTGAACTATAAGTGTAGCTTCAGCCGTAATCTTGTCTAACTCCGTCGAGGCAACACAAGTGTATACCCCGGAGTCTAATTCTGTAGTCTTGGTGATACTCAGGGAGAAATCAGACTGCTGGACAAATCGTGGTTCTTGCTCAAAATCAATCAGTTTTCCATCAGTAAGCCACTCAATACTCAATTCCAGATCACTGTCAGTCACAGCATTGCACCTGTGTAAGACAACAAGTGTTAACAGTAAATGCTGATACCAAACCAAGAGCAAAATCATTCAAAGAAACTGAAAAGAACACACCCACCCCACACACAAGAAATATCATTATTATTCAAATATATAACATACTACAGTAACTGTCATATCAAACTCTACCGATTTAATGCCACTCATGCACAAATGATGAACAGCATAGACCTTGTCATCAAAAACAAAACAATTAAAGTGTACAGTACTGGGTTATGTACAGCAACATACCTAAATGTAGCAGTTTGACCCGCAGCAACTTCGTAGTCCTGCGGGGCATCTGTTATCCGGGTTCTCTCCTTCACCTCTAGGGATCCATCTGCCTCTTGCTGCCCAAATTTATTTTCCGCAGAGCAAACATAATCTCCCGCGTCCGTAAACGAAACATCTCTGTGGAAAAATATTTGAAGATGTTTTAGATGGTGAGCATATTGTCTCCATTTACTTGTTTAAGTGTATTAATAAATTTTTGTATTATCCCATGATATTACTGATATGTTTCACTCTAAATATTCAGCAGTTGATTAATCAAATGTAACAAACACAATTACAAATAGAAGGATGTTAACAAATCTGTACATTTTTTGGCAACATTCTATTGTTGAATGGCTCTTTTAAACAATTATTTTCTCCACTGTTTGTTTTGATAAATGAACCTTTAAAGGGATGCAACATCCATTAAGTAATAAATTTAACTGCTTTGTGCTTGCAGTCTCTTAAAAAACAATATTAGTTAAAATATCACAATTACCATAGATACTCTGGTATACCATCTAAAAAAAACACCAACTTTAACCATGTCAAATAAAAACTACAGTACAATTAAATACCAAGATACATACTGGATAACAAGGTCTCCTTCAGGAGTGACCTGGAAGCGTCCACCAGTCAGTTCAAGACCATCCCTCATCCAAGTGATTCGTGGTTTTGGTGCACCAAATACACGACATGTAATGTTCACCTGCTGTCCATCAACTGATCGCACATCACTTGGAGGAACGCGAATCTCAGGGGGCAAAGCTGAAAATGATGAAGGGTGTTAAAGGATGTCACTTCATACACTGGACAGTATGTCTTGCAGACACAATATGCATTTCACTTAAAAGAGGTTAAATACAGTAGTCTTCTGCTCTTTTCCTACCAATTCTGCATGAAATGGGGTCAGTTCCATAGACCTATATTCTAAACCTATCCAATATTACACCCGAGTTTTCAAATATAATTTCAAAATGTTAGGAATTAGTTTTCAAAGTGGATAAAAAGTTATATCATGTCTTATATACTGTTACCAGATTTTATAAAGGCCTCAGGTTGTCTTGCATTGGTAATTGGTGGGGGTGTAACGATATGGGGTACAGTAACCGCACTATATTTCATATTCATTTAATTTTGAGAGTGAGAGAGAGACTCCAACAGTAATTCTGAAGATTACTTAATGCTTGTCTCATCTGCTCTTTACTTACTACTGGTTTTCCTTTTCCAGCTTAAAATGTTCAATTCACTATGTGCAAAACGGATTACCTCATCTCTCTCGTCTTCCAGTTGCTCAAAATATTATCTATCTTCTTTACTTTATTTTTTTCCCCCACAAAGTCACTTTTCATTTTAACTGGCGACTCCATTTATTTTATTTTATTTTTCACACTACTGTACTGTATTCAGTTATATACATGAATAATCAGATAATATTCAGCGAAAATACATTACAAACTTACCCAAGACATTGACGTAAACATCCTTGTACACGTAGCCATGGTCGTTGGAAGCATTACAACCATAGTTTCCAGTATCAGCCTTGGTCAAGTTGTAGATGGTGATCTTATTACGCTCTACAAGACGGCGAGGATTTGGGGGTGCCTTCTCAACAGGCATACCGTTGTAAATCCAATCCATCCTGGGAGGAGGCTTTCCCGCTGACTCACAGTAAAATACTGCCGTCTCTCCCTCAGCATTGTTCTGTACCTCTGGCTCCTTCTCAAAGTATGGAATTGCTGTACAGGAAGATGATACAACACATTTTTGAGATATGGATAAAGTTCCACATTAAGATTACATCCTACAACTTGGTTTACACAATATTCATCACTTCAATCAATCAGAGTACCATCCTCATATCTGAGGGCTGGTGACCACAGTTCTCCACTCTAAATATTCTTGGGCTGTTTTTACCAAACCTCCAATTAGTAAGTTCATTATTTACTAACACTGCAGCCTCCTGTTGCCAGTTAAGATTCTTTAAAAATCTAATACCTCCTTCATTAATGCCTATTTTTTACAAGATCTCTGTAAGTTTATTGTGCTTTACCATATAAAAAGCTTTATCAAAATCAATAAAGCAGATGTACAAATTTCTTTGGACCTCTAATGAGCTTTCACTCAAAAATTTCTAACCAAATATAGCTTCCTTTTTCCTTTCTAAGTCCATTTTGCTCTTCAGATAACTCATTGTCTTTTCTAAAATTTATTCTATACTTAAAATTATGTTAAATAAAACTTTGCAGGCATGACTTAAGCCTATTGTTCTAAACTGGGTGCACTCTAAGGCTCCTGGCTTCTTAGTTAATAATACAAATACTCCTGTATTGATTTTTTTTAAATCATTGGAAAGGTATCCTTTGAAGTATGTACTGTATATATGTAACTACATATTTTAATTAAACATTTTATCCCATTCTTGCCCATTTGTTTTATAAATTCTATCGGAAGCTGATCAACTCCATGACCTTTATATAAACAATTTTCAATTTGCTTACAGTTGCCACAAATTCGTTTACAGTTGCCACAACTTGTTTCCAGAATTGGCATTTCGATCTTTATTCATCACTTATTCTCACCAAATTATGGTTTACTGTATTTTAAATTTACACTAAATATCATATATTTCACATGTACAGTCGGCCACAGGAATAAGTATACTACAGTAGCTGTACGGTCCGAAAATGGTCTGGTAACGTTGAAACTGCGCACCCAGACGCATGATGAAACTCGGCTCTAACTATTTTCTGTTTCCCCTTCTTTATTCTTGTTTACTCCTCTTCCTCCCTTTACTACCAGGTCATCCAAACATCAGTTAAAAAGAAGAAGGGTAAGAGAAAAAGTGGGGGAGGAGGAAGGAGCTGTACGAAACTGCAATCCCATTCGGCAACAAGTTTACTCCCATTGGATACAATATATTACTTGTAATATAAACACAAGACACTAGTAAGACATTCACAACAAATGTATCTATAACAAATATGTATGAATAAAACATAAATTACAGGTCATTTTGTAATTTTGACTGTTCTGTTCAGGACAGTGTTACCAGGTATTTTGTCTCAAACACGAACCGTAGGTGTACAGTACACTTATTCTTGTGGACAACTGTACATTCAGTTACAATTTGCGACGAATTATTTTACAAGTGATTTCAGACTCACCTTGAACTTTAACATTCATGGAATAAGACTTGGCCACACCTACACCATTGCTTGCCTCACATTCATAGCTGCCTTCATCTTCAAAGTCTACATAGCGAATTACAAGCGTTTTGCCATAATTTTCATAGTCAACTCGATCTTGAGGAAGTTTTGCTGGTTGAGAATTATTTCTTTTTGTCCATCGCATTTCAGGAAGTGGTCTGTGAAACACAAAATCATAATAACACTTTGTACACAAAAAGTTCACAAAATAAGTTTCCGAACATTCAATATAAAAATTCAATGAAACAAATTTTTTCCATATCTATTAAAAGTATTAAACACATCCTGTTTGTTAACCAAATGTTTACAAATTTAAACTTTAATCTCCTTAACAAATATCACCCATAAAGTCTCCATCACTTCTAAATAATCTTTCCTCTCCTTTTAAACCAATGACTGCCCCTCTATATCATATCTAGTCCCGACAAATATTAATTAACCTTTAAGAAACTTACGTTCCACTGAAGATGCACCAGAGCCGCAGCGTCTTGCCTTTCAGAATGCTTGTATTCTTACGAGATTTGAACTGTTCCTCAGGTTCATTCTTAGTCTGAACAGCTGTACTGCCGCTCTGATATACACGAAGGTATACTCGATTACCCAATTTGTACTCGTTACGGAATGTTGATGTTGCAGAACAAGCATAAGTGAAGTCGTTGGATTCATCAAAGCGAGTGACATTTGAGAACCAGAGTGTACCTTCTGGGTCTACAGTCATTCTCGAAGAGTTAATGCTACGCAGCGCACCTCTGTCATCCTAGAAATAAAAACGAAAAATTTTATTTTTATTTCATGTTGACAACCTTTGCATCATTAGCTTCAAGTCTAAATGTCTCTCATATCCAAAGAAAAGCTGCCGATATAACATGTCCTCCAAACATTTCACTCAGCATCCACATACAGGTAGTACTGTACAGAACACGACAGACACACTTGAAGCACTTACTAAAATCAGCAGACCACGAAAGGGCAAACTGACACCTGTTTTATTTCTTAAGGTAATGTTTCTTTGGGTGGGTAATTGTCTCCTCCATTAAACTTCCTTGTGTATTCACACTTATTTCATAACATTTATTTGTGACACCAATCACTACTCTCTCTGTACAAAGTCCTAACAGCAGTCCTCAAACAGCCTTCCCTCATGCAGTAAAGATGAAAAAGCAGTTTTTCTCTTTACAGTAGAGTATATCCATAACTACAATGCACAATATTTTGTTCTTTTCCAATTATTTGATCACAAACCAATGATGAGAAAATAAATGTCTTACCTATGTATCTTAATTCTTTCCAAAATCATTCACTCTCTACCATTGTAAAGTTCTGTTCCCTATCCCAAGAAATAATAACAACCAACCATGATAGAAATAATTTTCCTAAGCCTTCAGCCTCAAATTTTCTTTCTCTTCCTTTTATACATTGACAAAATCATTGCTTTTATCCAGTGATTTATCATGCACCCACAAATATTCTTCTTTTCCATTAAAAAACTACGATATTTATCATCTTCAATCTTTTAAAATGGTTTCATTCATATAACTGTTCATGGCTTGGGCCTTATGAAAAGAGGTTTCAAACTTAAGAACAGCATAATATGAAGTTGAAACAGCTTATATGACCTAATTTTCAATGTAAAAAATCACAACGCTTTATTAGATTTTCAGTCGTTACCTGAATCATCCAGTAAACGTAGGGCTTGGGATAACCATCAGGAGGCTGGCAGGTCAAGCCAACAGGATCTCCTTCGTTAACAGTTTCTGTCATTGGATCTTCATTCTTGAAGCTATTCAACTCTGATTTGCGAACAAACACGGAGTTGGATGTGGCTGTTCCCATCTCATTAGTAGCAAAACACTGATACTGACCTGTTGAAGAATGTATAATGTGTGTTTTACAATACAGTATTTTGTATAAATTATTTCCACATTACATTTTAGTACAGTATAATGATTAAAGACACTAGAGTCTGGTTACTTTATATCAACATTTGTGCTAAAGGTGTAATGTACAATACACATACCCAAGTCTTCATCTCTGGGTGATGTGATGACCAGCGTGCCTCTACCTGGCTGCTGCAAGATACGGTTGTCGTACGTTTGCCAGTCAAACTCCTTACCATTTTTAACCCACCGATACCTGTATAAGTAATTTTATTGTAAACATACAGGTACTCAGTTTAACTTCTATGTGTGTGTGTTTCAGCTACTTTGTATGACCCACCATACATCACAATAAAATAATATAATCAATATAATAAGTGGAGGAAAAAAATTACTAAAAACAAAGCTTTCATTTTAAAGCAAAACCTTTATTCTACTGTTGAATTATTAAGTCAGGGACCGCAAACAACTTCTCAACAACAATGCAGTAGAATCAAGAGTGTACAGTACCTGTAATGTACTTGGTCTTAGTTCCATACAAATACAGTAAGAAATAGGTATCATGCAACTACAGTACTGTACTATGATTGAAACATTCAAGACAAAATAATGTTTACTTCATTAGCATAACTATAGTATTTTCTTATATGCAAACACCCTACAGTGATTATATTCTGTATTATATATGGTAAACGGCTCTTAACTTTGGAGAATTCTCCTCCATAATCATTGTTCTGCATCTAACATCTGATCAGTGCAGCCAACACTGTTTCCCATATTAGGCCTTACACAGCTTAAGAGGAACAAATCAGGTTAGCAGATGACAGCCAAAGCAGAAAGAACATACTTGGGGGCAGGTTCTCCTTCAGCCTCACACTCGATGATAAAGGGTTTGTCGTTCTCGTCCTGCCTGGATGCCACTTGGAAGAGTAGCTCCTCGTTGGAGGGCGGCTGTTTGGTCATCATAGGTGGGTACTTGATAACTGCCTCACAACTGACAGCTACAAGCATCAGCACCAAGACCGCCCGCACCAGCCCCACACCTGATAACCGCGTCTCTAACATCGTGCCTCGTCCCTAACACCACCTGCAACAAAACAACAATAATCATTACATCACACCTTCACTATTACAGTTATGTAAAATTTTCTTTCACACATTATAAAAAACAAATTAATTTGTGGACACATCACATATATAATAACTGGGTGTGCATATTTCCAGGGTTCACACTATAACAGTGTAGACACTCACATAAGGAGCCTTAACCTTGCCTCCAATTAACATATACAGTACAACAAAACTAGGATATAGAGCAATATTATTTTCCCACTAAAAATACACACACACACACATATATATATATATATATATATATATATATATATGTGTGTGTGTGTGTGTGTGTGTGTGTGTGGATTTAAATCACTAGAGCAGTAAAGTACCGGCCACTTTACCAGCCAGGCACTTGCACTATTCCCGACTATATACTGTACAGTATTCGTATTTTTTTCTTCTTATATTGTTAGCTATGATCGAACACCCCGACCCCCCCCCTACCCCTCGCCCTCCTCGGGATCACTCAGGCATGCTGGTCCACCCACCATCTCTAACAAGATTGCGAAGGGGACTGCTACGCTAATGGAAACTCCCCATTTGTTTCAATGACTCCAATCCACCTCCCTACACACGTTTTTACTTCTTGCTCTTTCAACTTTATTTTGCACCTCATATTAGCAAGACATTAGAAAAATAGATTACCCGAAGATTCCCCCAACATAATATCTAGCACATCTAACCCCTCCCTTAGGCAGCGTTAAGGTGGTTAATTTTCTGGTGGAATAATTTTGAGGTGAATATTCAAGTGATAAAAAAAAAATGTATTGCAGTTGATATTTCTTCGAACAGTAATGTGGGTAGTGTTGCTAAAAACGGTAGGTGTGATTCGATTTTCTCTCATATGCGTTTATTAACTTTAATGTACCTGTTCTACTAATGAAGTTAGGTTAAGTAAGAACTTGAGGTAAAAAAAAAAACCAATAAATAAATCAGACTCGCCTTTATAGCTGACATTGTTGGCTTTCCTCCTAAACACAGCACATAACACAGCAGGCAGACTTGACACAGGCCATTACAAAAAATGACAATCTTCCGCACTACAGCAATATACAGTACTTTCATCATCTCCGAATAAATGATCTCGCTTGACTCGTTACCTCGAACACAAAAAAAATATTGGATATTTTGAAATTACGTACACGTTCACACACATCATAAAGAGCTCCACTGAAACAAAAAACCTAACCAAACTTAAGCAAATGTAACATTTCAACATGAAAAAAAACTTGGAAGCAACAAATCCTGGGAACAAGGGGACAGGTCCAAAATAACGTGACGTCATTTATTTGGGAACGCAAGCACTGTTGAGAACGTTTCACTGATTAACGCCCCCCTAATAATTGTTAGTCACACGCAGACTGATATGTACCCGAGACCTTTGCAACACTCAAATCATAGACAAACGAAAAGATGACATACTGTACTTTAAACCACGATAAAGCATTATATATATATATATATATATATATATATATATATATATATATATATATATATATATATATATATATATATATATATATATATACAGTTACTTATGTTACTTATAAAAAGGAAGGTGAAGCTTATTATTAAAAAAAAAAAAAAATACTTCGAGACCATAACCAAATCTCATTCACTTATACTGAACACTGATATTGCTGTACCCCCAAAAGAACTACCTAGCTCCCACCAACCTTCAACAACCCGCATATATTGTACTGTACTCCGCCTTACCACACACTGCATCCCATCCCTCGTTTCCCACCCACACTCATCTCACTCACTAGCTCTTCCTCAGAACAAAATACACAAGACATTATATTTGTGTAGTGTCAAGACCTTTGGTCATAAACCTGTCTGTCTGTCTGTCTGTCTGTCTGGAATCAGCAATTAGAAGGCGGGGGTTAACATGTTCCAAACTCTCTTCCTACAAGATACTCCTATGTTTCAATGGGTTCTTTTCAGCCTTGTCTCTGGGTAACGACATACTCCGTTTTTCGAGAATGTACCCACAACCTACGTTTCCTACCGGGGACTGTCAAATATCTGTGAAACATATGAATAGTATTTTTTTTCCCAAATCGTTATTATTCTCGAGTCAATAAGTTTTATAAATTGTCGCCTTGATCGTGGGGGGGGGGGGATATAAACGTAACATAACATTCACTTTTTTACTTTCTGTACAAAACAAGAATGAAAAACACATAAATAAAGAGAGACTGTTTAAAGTGTTACAACATCGTGTCATAGATATGCGTGAGACGGGTTGTGGTCCTCAGGCACACCCACACCCCTGCCCACCATACCCTGTATATAGCCAAGAACATATGTGCTACGCCAGGGGAAGACACAACACTACGCCAACTATAAACAAATATTACGTACGGAAGGACCACCGTTCCTAAGACGGGGAGGAGGAGGAACAGTGAGGAAGAGAAAGACGAACAGAAGAATGGCAGTGGTGGGACCATGGGTGAGACAACACAACACAGTCAGCCGGGAGCGCCGCCACACAACCCACAGTCAATGTAAAATTGCCTTCATTACAGGTCCATCATATACACCCCGGAGCAAGTAGTGAGGCCAGGAGCAACAGAGATAACCAACATGACGGTAAGAGCCACACTCCCCCTTGTCCCTCGTGGCCTGCTGACCACTATATCCCACCACATCCTTGGCTGGCCTTGAATCACAGCTCTACTACCACACTAAATTTCTCTAACTGATAACCGAGTACAGATGAACATCTAACCGCAGTATACTATAAAGTGCATCATGTTAACATTACACATCATGAAACTGATAAACCAAAGGTCAGATTCACAAGATTGTAAAATTCCAATAAATTTCTTTTTTCTATAGGCAAATAGCCGGACGTAGCTACTTACGCTAGCCTCAGTGCGATTTTGAGGTCATTTCTGTCCGCCTTCTGTATCGTAACTCAGCAGTGTCGGTCAGATCTATTCACATATCAATGGTTAAACGAAATATCGAACCCGGGACTTATTTCTCAAGCCCGGTTCACAACACAAACGTACAGTACTGTGTTGTTACCTGGAGGAGTTAAGGTAAGATTAACGTTAGGACGGTCTGGTCCTAAGGTGAAAAATATGCTCCACACGCTCATAATTTTAGGGTGATTTTATCCATCTTTCTTCGCATACACACACAAGGACAAAATGTTACAGTATTTGTGTATTGTTTAAGCAATGTCTAGACGGCAGCTGGTGAAACGTGGATACCTCAGGGATAAGAGACTGCTAGGATTATCTCCATGCCTTCCAGCACCACACCACCACGACACACACACCCAACACCGTGAACTGTATACAAGACAAAAGTTGGCCATAATATACGCAGTGACGAGGATCAGTGAAGGAAGGTAGCACCCCCGCCTACACATCCTTGAGAAACACACATTTTTTACTTCAAATATGTCGGTAAAATATACATAAACTTTATAAAATTTTATTTAAATTGCCAAGTTCCTTCCTATTCCCTCCTCCTTCTATAGGTGGCTTCCCCATCCTTCTCCCCCCCCTTTCCATTCCCAGCCGCCTCTCTCCTCCCCTCCCACAATATGTCTTAATTAAACAAAGAATCCAGACGAAAACTTCCGCCAAGATTTTTTTAAGGATGACTAAATACGACCTGAAGAAAAAATAAAAATAGGTGACTTGGCCTTGCTCACCCCTAATGTCACTATCCCCGACTGTCACTATCCTCTACTGTCACTATCACCCACTATTTTAATCCAACACTGTACTGCAACAACTAACAGAAACAACACCACCATTTCAAGACAGCGACAAGTACAAATGCCAACAACAAACAACTACACCTCATATACGTCAACAATAATAATAACAATCAATCAGTAAAATACATCTATACATTATACACTTGAACAACAACAACTAACACTAACCATCAACATCAAATAAAGTGAACACAATAACAGTGAACACCATACATACATACAAACATACACTTTCCTACATAGTTTAAATAAATTAATGAGTGTTGACAGACAGACAGACAGACACACAGACACAAAGGTTTTAAGCTCGAAGAGAGAGACAGAAATATTGGAGGAGGATAAGATCAGACGATAACTAAGAACAAGACAATAAAAATGAATATACAAACAAACAGACAATAACAATAAACAGATAAACAAACAGACAAAAACAAAGAAGGCAGAATAAACAAGCTTCCTTGTTTACCTACTGTAATTAACTTCGGAGGTAAATTGGAAACGACTGATGGAGCGGAAAATCCCCACAAGGAAAAAAAAAAAATCCCTTACTTTCGTACACCCAATACTTTCCCTCTCACATTCTCCCTGGTCTTACGTCAAATTTCCCCCTCAAATTCTCCCTAGCTCGTACGTTTTCCCTTTAAATTCTCCCTGGCTCATGCGTTACTTTCCCCTAATTTTTCCCTGGCTCGCTAGTCAATTTTGCGTCATTTTTCCCCTAACTGCTTAATAAAAAGGCGTCTATACTGGCTCATTAACCCAAAGCTTTCAAAATGGAGACGGGAATGCACTGAGATTGTAGTAATGTGATCTGTTTGCTTATAACCGGTTCGAGAGAGAGAGAGAGAGAGAGAGAGAGAGAGAGAGTGCACTAGGAGGAAGGGAGCGAAGCGTGCAAGATTAATGAGGGGAAACAGAGTGCCCCGGAATGTGGGGGGGAGGTAAAAAGTGAGAGAGGGGGAGGATGATTCTAAGTGAGGGGAGAGAAGAATTGTTAGAAAAGGGAGAGGGAAGAGCAGGACTAGAAAAAGAGATGGGAGGTAACTTCAAAAAAGGGGAGAGATGTTACGAAAAGAGGGGAAGGAGAGGGCTCTAAGATGAGAGGGGGGAGGAGAGGGGTAATGCAGGAAAAAATAAAAAGACCGATGTTAACGGATTACGACGAACATATAAACCCGTCACCCAAGACACCTCCAAGTAGCCTTAATCAACCCGTCCTAATGGGC